CTTTTATTTGATCAAGCAGAGCAAGCAGGAAATCAGCAAGATGCCACAGTCAAGAAGATATCCCCGACCAGAAAGCATTCCCGAGGTCGGGAAATAAAGACAGAGACATTTCAGATCTTTTGCTTTATTTTCCATTGACAGACTACATAAATAACAGACATTTATTAAATACACAGACAAGCTGTCCTGGAATGCAGTCAGAATTCTTAGATACATCTCATACATTCATTCTCTCTCTAAACAGTACCCAGTTATCGGCTACAAAACACATGGTAGGTATATTTAAATAACTGCAGAGAAACACCCAAAAAGCTTTACACAAGGTGGTAAAACACATTTTTATCCTGCTTTGCCAAGCATGTGGGGAGACTGCAATGAGGAGAGGTGGGGAACTCAGTGTCTGAGCTCTTGAGTGGGGCTCAAAGTGCAGATGTACCCACACCAGACAGCAGGGATTGTGTCTGTTGGCTGTGGCAGCCCACAGTAGTTGATGTGACAAAGGGTTAAGTCCTCTCTCTCTCTCTCTCTCTCTCTCTCTCTCTCTCTCTCTCTCTCTCTCTTGTTTAGTGATTATCTGAGTGAATGAGTTTATCATTTTCTTTTACAAAAACAAGCCCAGACCACACCTCTTTGTCTTTAGCGTGAATGGTGTGTAAAGTTAAGGAAGTCCCTCCCTGTCTCTACATTCTCCACCCCCCCCACATGGCCATCTTCTAGAGCACCACAAATCTTGACAAGTGTGAAAATCATATTCATTTCTCCTAGTTTCCCAATAAATCTTGATTCTTCCAGAATCCGAAAACTATACAAGGAAACTATTTTTAAATGACTGTTCAGTTTTGGTGGCTGGCTACAGAGAGTCCCAAGACCTGCTTACTTTAAAAGAGCAATATACTTCAAGTCTAAAGCATTCCACACCAGAGCCTAAAGCTTCATCTTTAGAAAGGAATTATCCGCAAGACACTCAAAAGCCATGAGAAGGCTAATTTTGTTCTGGGAGATTTCTTTCTTCCCTCCCTCGTCTTACTCCATAATAAAATTGCTCGACCGAAGCTGAATAGAAACAACCAAAGCCTCAACAACAGCAAATGTCTCTGTTGCCTGCTCTCTGAGTGGATGAGAGTCAGGGTGAGAAGGCAGTGTTGGTAAATCAGTTCCGAAGGTGGGGGGGGGGTGCTAGTGCACGTGCTGTTCACTGTTTAGAATGCACAGCTGGCTGGTGGGAAACTCCTGAGCTCCTGGTGGGGGCTCAGATGCAGAGATGATTGCCACGTGTGTGGTGGAATTGTCTTTGCAGAGAATGTGTTCTGCTTATGGTGCCACAGTGTAATGGTGTGGGCTAAATGTTCACAGGCTGTCACGTGATCTTCCCCTTAGATATCATCAAATGCATTACACAAAGCAAAAAAAAGTTTCCTTAATTCCTTGGTTCATGCTTTGTTTGCCATTGCCAACTGTCTCCTTGGGTTGACTTTTAAATTTTGTAATACTTGTATACACAATACTGTGAAAATGTTGGCTGAAGCTTAACTCTTTATGGCAACACAGAAAACACACCTCTGGGCATAACCAAAGATGCACAATTTTCTTACATTTATTTATATTTCAGTTTTGGCATATAAGAACCCCCCCCCCCCACACACACACACAAAAAAAAAAACACCAAATAAGGGTCTGTGAAAAATCTGTCACAGCCTTTGACTGGGTGGATAAAACAATAGCATTTTAATTATCCTAGTCAAGATTTTCCCTGTATTTAGACAACAAATACTTTGCAAGAATTCTTGACACTTTTCCCTATGTTTTATGTGGTTTGAGAGTGCTTTTGGAGTAACTGGCAACACGCACACCAACAAACATAGAAGGGAAAGTTTTTCTCTCCCTCTCTGATTTGATCTCAACCTAAAAGAACTATTGAATAATTGAATAATTTTTATGCTAGGAAGCTTGAAAGCCAGTCATTAATTTGGGGCCCCTAGCCAATAACACTGTGAAAACCATTGATAAGATAAAGGATCGATCCATCTAAAGTTTAAACATCAGGATACGAACAAGGTGCCACCACTTTGGGTCCTGTCTGTGAGTTTCTAGTCTCCCCCTTAACATATGGGACATTTTTAAATATTTTTCTGTAACTCTGTCAAGAGATTCTTTATGGGATAAAGAAGAAGTATATGTATATCTTTCATTTCAGAATAGTTTAAATCTATTGTGTGATTAAACGTATTTATTTAAAATACCTTGGTATACAGCATTAGGCAAATCTGATAAATCTCACTGTTTTGTTGTTGTCTGAGATGCAGTCTCTGTGTTGCCTGGCTGTGAAGAAATCACTATGTAAGTCACAGTAACGTCAGTTTGAAGTGATCGTCTGGCCTCTGCCTCTGTAGCCTGGGACTAGCGGCATGCACCACCATGCCTGGCTCTGAAGCAATAGTAATGCATTTTGTTTCTCCAACTGAAAAGGATTCCTAAGAAACTCACTGAGCCCATTTTGTTTGAAACATTAACTCTTCGTATTTGACAACGTATCATCTCTTCCATCCATGACATTACACTAAGCCTAAATTCATTTGAAAACCATAGACACTTATTAATTGTACTCGTGTTTCTACATTTTATTTTCTTGTTCTTTCCTTGTGGTATTCTGAGACTAACTAATACTTTCAAGTTCAGGAAAGGGTTGTAGTCTATGCGTGCATTCTTCCTGTGCATGCATATTCATGGATAAACCAGCTGTCTGGGAGTGAACTTCAAGGCCAGAGAATCAAACTCAGAAATGGAGATGCCCCCCTTGTTCCTGCAGAAGTCCACTTTCTCCACAGCATCACCGAACTCGCACCATCCCAAGCTGAGACTGTGGGGGACTTTAACTACCTATCAGATTTTGCTGGACCAACCAATGACTTCTCAGGTAACAAAACTCACAATTTCTTCCATTTCTGCCTCCTTTTCAAGCTTGTTCAAAAATGGCCATTCATTCACTCATTTCACTACCTGAAGATACATCCTCTAGACTGTTAGTACAAATGACACCATGCTGTACAACAACATGGCAAATCCTCTAAAGGCAGAGCTCTGTTTACTCAACTAAATAAGAAGTCATTTGCCTTATGGGCTGGACAAGCTGTAACTGATGTGCCAGCTGCCCCAAGAGCAAGCAGTAGTTTTAGCAGAATCTTATTTACTCATCCACCATACCATGTTTATTGGAAAGTCCTATATTCCAGATGCTACAGTAAGTGTGGGAAGAGGTAACAAAATTACACTTCACCACTCAAACCCAGCAGTGTGTGTCTACCTGATCACAGAGAGGCTCAGGGAACACCCCAAAAGCAAAGCCTCTTTTTTATACAGTTGTCTCAGTATGGGGGAGGACAATGCTGTTCTATACTCTATGAACGTATCAAAGGGAGATTTTTATATCAGGGCTAGTATGGTATAGCCCTATGCTCTCGTCTTTAATGTCTGGATTGTGGAGCCATTCTGGATGGTGTGAGCACCTGCACTCCATATTCTGACTCACTTTGATATGATCATTTACTCTGTTTATCCTAACTCTCCTAGGTCAGTGAGCACAATTAACCTAACAGAGACAGTTACAAGCAACTCTCATCCAAACCAGTACTAACCACAAAGAAAATGCCATTGAGTAAGAAGCAGAAGGAAATTTCAAGCTTCAAAGAAACTGGGGAGCAGTAAAATGCAAGTCAAAGTCTTCACATTAAGTATTAGTGAACCGGCAAAAAGGGATGCCGAATCAAAAAGGGCAGAATCTGGGATGGTCCTGAAGGAGCACAGTCTTTGTGGAGTAACTTTTAACCCCTCAGACCCCAAAGCTTCCGGTTGTAATTTGCCTGTGCCACAAGAAGACATTAGGCAGAAGCCTCGAGCCTTGTGCCCTTTCAAGCTGTGTGAAAGCCAGGGTGTAAGACCATTCACCCAAGGGCAGGGCAAAGGCTGAACAGAAGTCATCATTAATGTTTCTATCTTACAAGAAAGCCAAACATGGGAAAAAATCTCTATTCAGTTTCTAAATTTCTATCTGATCTAGAATCAGAATTGGTAAAGGCCCGAGAACACCTGTGGGAATATATTGGACTAACCTACAGTTCTCAACCCAGTCTTCAGGTAGCTTTCTGAAATACTGCTTCATGGCCCCATAGATTGGTTACAACTCTCCCCCAGGCCTCTATAAATGCACAGTGGTTTCAGAGGAAAGAGTGTTTAACAGCAGTGGGAAGACACAAACTGTCGAATTTGAAAACAAATAGAACTGGATCTTATTCAGTTAAGGGGTAAACTTTCTTACCCACCCAACCAAAAGTTAAATTTTGTAAGGTTATGAGTTAACAATCTATTGAACAATATTTAGTATTTAAATAGCATCAAGACAATAAACATGTGGATACCTTATACATTTTTTTTTAAAAAACCCATCTAGATTCTTTAAAATTTTGACTGGGGAGAAAAGGAGGAGGCAAAAGTAACAGAGACGATGATGAAAGAGAACACAACCAATGTCCATGGACAAAACAAATCTCTATATCCTGGTCCCCTGCTCAGGGGTTTACACTCCAAACTCCCCAGAGTATGCTGGGTCAGCAACAGGCCATACCCCAAGTAGCTCCAGGCCATTTATCACAAGTTTTCTGTCACATATTAACCCCATATTCAGCTACACATGGCAGAGACTCAAACTGCTAGACTGCTACTAACAGATTTTCCTTTGTTTGTATTTCAGGATTTTGGCACAGAAGGGATTATCTATGCTTCTTGGACCATCTAGTTTTATATCAAAAATTCCATTCCAATGCATAAACAGCAGCATACCAGAGATGTCTCAGTCCGTAAGGGCTAGGGATATTGGCTGCAAAAGCTGTGAGTATGCACATTGGTTATGTTCACTTTCATGGCCCTGGCTGTACTATTTCGTTAGATAATGAGATGGGCTGCCCTTTCTGTCCATCGCTAGAGCAGCTGGAGACAGTGTTTGCTACCTGACAGAACTTCCGAAGAAGGATCTTTCTCAGCAGCAGATAAACCCAGGGGTCCAAGATTTGGTTCAGCGAAGCCAGGCGCACTGCAATGAGGAAGGAATTGCACTCCTTCTCCTTTCCCGTCTGTGTCTTGCATTGCTCAACGGAGGTCTGATTGAAGATCATTCTCAACATCATTATCTAAGAAAAAAGGACAAACAGTTGTTGCAAAGCTTAACAAGGTCATGGCATATCTGCATAGGACCCAGCACAGACTGTTTTCATATGCTCCCTGCTAAACTGAGTGTCAGTCCAGATACAGTAACAGAGCACCACTCCGAGTTTAGACTGTTCTATGGATTTTCCAACATTTTCGGCAATTTGACATGATGTAGTTTTGTAAAATGTGTATTCAGATGGGTGGTGGTGGTGCACACCTTTAATTCCAGCACTCAGGAGGCAGAGGCAGGTGGATCTCTGCGAGTTCAAGGCCAGCCTGGTCTCCAGAGCTAGTTCCAGGACAACTAGAGTTTTTCGGGTTCTTGGCTTTTGAAGTTTAAAAAACCTAGATATAACACATCTCAAAATCAGCCAAATTCACAGTAGGATGGCAGTCAGATGAGACCTAATACTTCAGCAATGATGAAGACATATTAAATGTAAATTCCAGTAATTCTAACTAAAGTCTATCATTGAAGAAAAAAAGCAGAAGAAAGGGGAAAACCACAACCATATTACTGTGATTCCTATCATTCTTTCTTGTACCTAATATGGGTACTGTGGGAGGTTATTCATATGCATTTAATAAACTTATAAAGTTATGATCACTACCACGTCCCTTTACAATTACCAAAAAACATGATTTAATGATGTGAAGTAGCTGAACCAAACTCAAATTTAAGTTCACTGAAACTACACGCTGTGGAGTGGGAGAGATGGCTCAGAGGTTAAGAATGCTAGCTTCTCTTCCAGAAGACTGGGGTTTGATCTCAGCACCCACACAGCGGCTCACAACCATCTGTAACTCCAGTTCTAGAGGATTTAATGTCCTCTTTTCATGTCTCTTCGCAGGTACTACACACATGTGGTATACATACATACATGAAAACATAACACTCGTTCTCATAAAGTAGATATAAAAAAACTTCATGATACATGCTATTTTATTTTTATCTGTTTTGGGGGGTAGGGGTCCATCTAGATGTTAAAACAAACTCCAGGATGGTGGGCATTTGGGGTTATTCCTGGACTAGTATAGTCCCAGTGACTACAGTCTAGGCCAATATTTAGCAGATAGCAGACAGACATCTAGCAAATATTTGTATTTGAAGGTTATATTATAGGATATATATATAAAAACAACACTATGTGGCATATGCAAATATGTTTATATTTGAATTCATAGGTGTACATGGGTGAATATCTGTTATTTTCATATGAAGAAAAAAATAAGGGTTCTTAGGCATATGAAAAGATGTTTAAAATCATCAGAAAAACACAAATGGGGGAGGAAGAAGCATCTCACACTCACAAGACATAAATGAGAACCAGTGGCCACCAGAAGTGTGTCTGAGAGGTGGGCAAAGGGAACCCACACACAGGAGTTCCAGTGAGGGCCCAGCATCAATAGTGTAGCCGAAACCAGAGGCCTCGAGCCAGACCAATGGCTCTTTACAATGAACACGTGCAAGTAAAGATACACACGAAAGGGTTTAATGAGTGACTCGCTGTGTTACACTACAGCTTCCGAGACGAGAGTGGTTTTTTCCTTCTCCCTTTTTTCTTTTTTCTCTTAAATTTTATTTTATTTTGCAGGGGAGGTTGCAAGGGCAGATGGTGGATATGAAGGGACAGAGAAATTAATGGGATGGAGATGAGTGAGGTGAAAGACAACAAAGGGTAAATAAAGTAAGAGTGGCTGTGGGAATCATAAGCATGTGGCTTGTGTTTTCTGTGAAAGTGGTCTCTCTTGAGGTTCATCTTCCGGTGGGTGTTCTGCCAGAACGTCCCAGATTTAATTCAACATTCCTTAAAAACTAAAAGACTCCTGACCACACATTCTCTTTCACAACACTTCAGAGCCACCGCCAGACTCTTGCCTCACCCTGTGCAAGGTCTTTCACTGTGGCCACAGTCTCACCCTAGTGCAGACTCTCCCACACACATTTGAGTTGGAGCAGTAGGGTCCCCGAGGCTGGTCCAGCCATGCAGTGAATACCTGTGCTTTCTAGAGCTCATGTCTGAAGCTCTGACACCTGCTGGGATGGTGCTGGACCTTCGGCTATGGAGGGGTAACTCAGTTTAGATGGGATTAAGAGGAGTGAGCTCCCGATGGTGGGGGGGGGGGTAGGGTTTTTATAAGGAGAGTGGGAGATACCAGGTCTTCACTGCCCTAGCTGTGAGGATGCAGCCTGAAGGCAGCCATCTATCTTCAGGCATGGGGAACTAACCAGGAAGCCCTTGGACCTTGGCATCCCCAGTGTCCAGAACCATGGAAATACACACCTGTCATTTAAAGTGCAGCATCTCAAACTGTGGGGTTGTGACCCCATATGAGGTCATGTCACTGAATGTGGAGGTTGTGGGAAAAATAATAAAATAGAAATACAGCAATAGAAAAAGACTGTTGCGTGTGCAATGAAAAAAAATAAGTGAGTCCCAGATATTTCTAGATGTGCTGTCTCCAGTACTGCACTGCAGCGTTGGTTTGGAACATATAACACATATACTCTATACCACATGAGGCCTACACACAGTGTCTTAAAACACCTCAGCTCAGACTTGAGACTACTGTGTTAGGAATTACAGAGTCTTCCCTGCACATACAGGTTCTCCATACGTAGAGAAACAGGATGGTTTTCTTGTAGAAATAGATGTTTACTGTTTTCTGACTGTCTCCCCTGGCAGGTATCTAATCAGTATATCGTTGTACTGTGTTGTATTGTTTGCGATTAAGAATAAATCTGTTTGAACTTAAAAGTACCTATATTGTGGGAGAAAGCATCAAAAGGATGAGAGGAAATATTTGGCAGCTGTATATCCTATGGCAGATCAGTATCTAGAATATATAGAGAACTCAAAAACCAAAGCATCAAAAAAACAAACAACTCAACAACAACAACAACAAAAAGTGGCTTTACAGTTAAATGGAGTTTACAAAAAGGTCAAGAAAGTGGTTTTTTGTTTGTTTATTTGTTTGTCTGTTTTCTCCATCCTTATTAACCAGGGAAATGCAAATCAAAACTCTGAAATTTCATCTTAATGTAGTCAGAGTGGTAAGATTAAGAAAACAAATAATAACAAATGCTAGTACAGATACCAGAAAATGGGGCCTTCATTCTTCCCTGTTGGTGGAAGCGAGAGCAGGCACAGACATTGGAAATAAGTGTGGAGATTCTTCAATAAGCTATCATAATGATATGATATATCATTATACCAGACATTTGCCTTATGGCCCAGCTGTACCAAGCCTGGGCATATCCTCCCAAAGGACTCAAATATCCTGCCATAGAGGCTCCCGAAGACACCTGCTTATCCATGTTCATTACTCACAATAGCAAGGGGTGGAAAACAGCCTGGTGAACTTGCATGAAAAGGTGTTAGATATACATATGTAGCTGTAAAGAGAAACTTAAATTACTAAATTTGCAGGTAAATGGGTCAAAGAGGAAAACTTTATACCAGGTGAGGGTACTCAGGTCCAGAAAAGCAAATGCTACATTTTCTATTTTATGTGAGGGTCCCGGCTTCCAATCTTCATATTATTCATTTAACATGGGGTAAATACCAGTAACAGAAAGGTGCCCTGGGGAGATCCGGGAGTAAAACACAAGTGATATGAAGCTGGAGGGGACAATGGGGAGGGAAGGGCTCGAGGGAAGTGGGAGGAGAAGGCAGGCCACAGGAAGGGGGCATGCACATAGAAGGGATGTTTGGAAAAAACTGTAAGTTTCCTGAAATATATATGTATATAGGGAAGGGTTTATTTGGAGCTACTACACGAGGGGCCGGGGGACGAGTCACAGTTACCAAACAAAGAGCCCAGCACTAGGTGCAGGAAACTTCCCTTTGAGTTGTTGTTTGGGAGGAAGTGTTCTCGAAGCCCCCCCAACAATTGCCATGCCTTTGATTACCCAGAAAAGCTTGACAGTAAGATCATATTGATGACAATACCACTTGCTTTGGTCACTGCACATAGGAAAATCACTCAACAATGTGGCCTCCTGAACACACTGGCTGCAATCCAGGGATGCCCCTGTAGATTAACCTAAAGAGCTCTGAGACAAAGTTCTGTGGCTTTTGAGCTGCCAAGTGTCTAATAATTTGTTATAGCAGCAGTAGAAAATTAATACCTCCACCACACTGAGCTCCAATAACTGATAAAGAGAATGAGAAGTGAAAATGCTGTTCACACTTGGCGATAAAGCTTGTTTACAGTCTTCACTTTCTTGGGAACATTTTTCAAAACTTCAAAGGTAAAAACATCACCACCAACTCCTGCCTGAGTGACCTCAGTTTCTGTGTTGACAACAGACATAGATGAATGTGTGCTATTCAAGATTGTGTGGGCACTCAGTGCATTCAATTAAAAGCCTTAAAACTACTCTTTAAACTTGGTTGTTTATGACAGACATGCTAATCAGCCCTCTCTCCCCATATTTTAAGCATTTGCAAAAGTTTTTACCTACTTCTTAAAGAACCTTGAAAAGTACAACCATCTAAAATCCAAACGTATTTGGTCACTACCTGCCTTTCAGGAATTGTTCTGACCATGTTACTTAAAATTGCTTGCAGTTATATTTTTATTTTTTATAAAAATGAAGTATTGCATTTCTTTAACTCTTTGTGATCATGAATATTCACAAAATGATTTATTAAAATGAGATTCCAGTCATTTTGCAAAGTCCTTGATTATTTTAAAATTTATTTAATGAGATTAATACCTTCAAATTAGTTTTATAAAGCTAACATAGGTTCTATGTGCCTTAAACTGGTTAATGGTTGGTAATTTCCCATTGGCAATCCAGTGATTATAAAATTATGAATAAGCTCTCTAAGCAATAGTTGGCATCAGGCAGCCACACCAGCCCTTCCCAGAAATCATGTGCTAGATCACACACAGATAATTGGAGTTGGAGGTAGCACCCACAGTGCTCCATTCCCAACTGACTGAAGACAAGGAAGCAGGGCCTCAGATTGCC